AGCAATTTAACGTACTTATGGAAAACCACCATGTTTAACAGGTAAATCATCTATAAATGGGCCAGCTATACCATGGCTAAATTAAATTGCGAGAGGATAATATCCCATAGAATGCCTGGTTATATCTCACTCACTAAATCTCCATATGCGCATTAAACATGGAGGTAAATCCCATATCTAACTCTTGACCCATTCAAATATCTTAAATATCCTTTCAAATATCGCACATTCCCATTTTAAATAATTTAAATATCATTCATATAAATCTCCACATACATTTTTTTATAGGTGGCACAAAAACAGCCAAGGTAAGAACCTAAACCTACCATTCACCTTTCACATGACTCAATGATCGCCCAGCCGTCCTCCTCCTTTGCCATTTGCTTCAGCTCGATGACTTCCTGATCCGTCGCGAGCACATCGCGAGCACAGAGGATGACGGCTTTCAGCATTCGATGAGTGATTGGATTCACTCACCTATATGATATGTTTAGGGTCCACCTATATGAACATATCACCTATGCAAAAAAAATAACTGAGTATACAATATGTGAAATAACTGAACATAGTGACATGGTATAAGATTTTTCTATATCATATCATCGCCTATAATAAATTTGGGCTATGGGATTATTAACACTTCAGGTCTTACCAAAACGGGGAAGCTGTGACATGACAAAACGCATGTGGATGGTTACTGGGATGGTTGATCACATTGGCTTTACCACATAAACAATAAATAAACATAAACCATAAACCACAAAACCAAAAATCAAAAGTGTGGCTGAAAATGACCCCAAATGGTTTGTTGCTGCTTACGTCTCCCACACTAATTCTTTTCCCAAGCATCTGGCAGAGGTTGTTCACCCCATACGAAGATCTGCGCTATGCCCTGCCCGTTCTTTGCGAAGCACGTTCTCCTTAGGGCGTTCAAACAGGAAATCTGCGCATATCAGAAATGCAAATCAAGATGTATCCGACAAAACTGCGGGATAGAAAATTCATGTCAATGTGATACAACAATTCTGAGGTACCTCAGGCACGCCCGCTGTGCTAAACAACTTGGATGACTGATCTCTGGCCCCCTGGCCCAGAAACCGCCTGAGTCAGAACCAACCGTGGATCATAAAATGCCAAATGGGGATGGTTCATATATTAGGGGGGATGAACATCCATAAATCCCATTTACCCTCTGGTAAACTAACGTAACTATGGAAAATCACCATTTTTAATGGGAAAATCCTTTATAAATCACCATTTTCAATAGCTATGTTAAATTACCAGAGGGTACTGTACCATCTATTTGGATGTTCACTGGGTCCAGGGTCTTGATTCAGAACTGGAAATAAATGGTCAATTTCAGGCTACCCTTTTTTCATTTTTCCGAAATTTTATGGCAGCACCAGGCACAGCCACCTGAAGTCCCAAATGATCAGTGACCCTCCAAAAAAGCTGGGTCGGTTGGCTGTCCAGTCTGATCCAGTCCGCAACTTCTGAAACCGTTCTTTCCGCTACTTGGACGGCTAAGTCCAAATTCGCAACTGGCTAAATCACCATGATCCCGATTCCAATACAAGCAATTGTGTTGGTTGAATATTGAATTGTATACCACTATAATATCTATAATCCAAATAAGTCTTAATGTGTGTTTCTCCACATTTGTTGGTCATGTCACCATGTTTGCCGTTTAAACCCCCATTGTTTCTCTGTTCTTCCCCCCAGTCACCACTGGCTCCGCGGGCATCGCCGGGGCACAAGATCCATTGATCTTGGTTGATGGGCACAGCACCCAAAGCATCCGGACACAACCTGGACGAACCCTTCGAACGTTCGGGGCCGAATGTGATCTGCGGTACCCCCCAAATGGTAAGGCTACCCCAAAGGTACCGTGTTTCATGGGAATATCCTGGGAATATGTATGGGAAAAAGAAACTACCAATGCTGGGAATGTTTCAGGGAATTGAGACAGAGGTACTGACCTATGTAAGGCCTATGTAAGGTTTATGTAATGCCTAACCTGAAGGGAATATCCCCACAATTTATGTGGCGTTATAATATGGTAAAGTACCTCCATCTTAGGGTCCTGAAATCCTATCTGCACCCAATCACTAAACATTCACCAAGGTTTGATCTACAGTAGTAGATACGAATATTTTGGTGGTTTCCATATCCACATGTAAGCAGTTACGATAGTAAATCATAGTTAAATCCATACCTCAATCGCCAGCTATGTTATATTAATACACCGAAAAAATGTCTCAGAAGCTTTGAAAAAAAAAGTATTTTCATGGATTCCCAGTGAATCATCAATATATATATATATACCCTCTGGTAAACTAACATAGCCATGGAAAATGGCCCATTTATAGATGGTTTACCTATTAAAGATGGTGATTTTCCATGGCTATGTTAAATAACCAGATGGTATATATTTTCCACTCTTAAAATGGCCTGGCCTAAAAATGGTGCCAAAACATCCCCCATCCGTTTCTCCCCAGCTCCAACCAAGGCGCATGTCACAGGTTTCCCGAAAGGGCGGCTCGCCGCGGAGGAAGATCCGACCCGTCTCCTGTCCGTGTCGTACGTTACCACATGAGGATCATCTCATGGGAATGACCGAGACAAATCTGAAAATGGGATCATAATATATCATAATATTTCATAAGTATCATAATTGTCATTGGTATCTCTCAAATATCTATATATAATTATGTATATATATATAAGCGTATATACTGTATCATCAATTCATGGTTTGACATCTTTTATCTTCAAATTTCATGTTTGATCATTTTCCCTGAAGCATGTTTGGGGCATCCCCCATTTTCAGACATACCCATGCTCATGGAGGTATGCGATACATCAAATGGACATGGAAAATATCATTGAAAATGATAAACCAAAACATCAGGCCACCGCTTATGCATTACTAAATTGATTTACCAATAGGTAAATAACAAACTGGATTGATGTTGTTTGTACTACACATCGGAAATACCTGGTTGCCAAGTCCATCAGGTCCCTGACAAATTGAGGTGCGTGTACTGTCAGTTGATCGCGATGAGCTGCTTCCAGTTCCAGAGGACAACTTCCTGCGCCGCTCGATGATGAAAACTCCACCTCGGCAGCCCATGTAACCTCTGTCCTTTGCTTGAGCTTCACCATTCCGAAAGCCCAAGACCTCCCAGGGTCTTGTCACTGGCTGTTGAAGCCCAAGAGCAAACTTGCCAAAATGGCCATCCTGTAAATGGTGGTATGACCACCTTTCCATATGTGTATCTAATCTAACTCTTGACCCATGTAACACATTTTCCACGATATGGTTCACATATTTTTCCTGTATGGGTATGAAAATCGGCTACGCAAAATCCACTCTTAAAGTTGCCGTTTGCATGGTACATTTGTCTTTAAACACACCAAAGTTTGTTACCATGACACTTTTTTTTTCATCGTGGTTTAAGAGTTTTACGCGTTTTACCATGTTTTTCCCCATCTGCCAGGTGAGGGATGTTAGATTTTATCAGAGCTGTTCTCCTCCTCCTCCGCCTCCGCATCCTCCTCCTCCTCCTCGTCCTCCTCCTCCTCGCAGTCCAGATCCCAGTGGGCACAGCCGGACCTCCACCGCGAGCGCCAGATCCCAGTCAGCGCACTGCCGGACCTCCACCGCGAGCTCCAGATCCCAGGGGCACTGACCGGACATCAAACCGAGAATTCCAGCTGCAGTGCACTGCGGACCTCAAACTGAGATAGAATGCCAGACTAGATATGCCAGATAGAATGCCAGGAAGATATGTTTTCAGAAAGAATGCCAGAAGATATGCAGAAGATATCCGGCCAGATGCCAGAAGATATGCCAGATAGAATGCCTGCCAGATAGAATGCCAGAAGATATGTCAGATAGAATGCCAGATAGATATGCCAGATAGAATGCCAGAAGATATGCCAGATAGAATGCCAGAAGATTTGCCAGATGCCAGATAGAATGCCAGATAGAATGCCAGAAGATATGTCAGATAGAATGCCAGAAGATATGTCAGATAGAATGCCAGAAGATTTGCCAGATAGAATGCCAGAAGATATGCCAGAAGATATGCCAGAACATATGCCAGAAGATATGCCAGATAGAATGACAGATAGAATGCCAGATAGAATGCCAGAAGATATGTCAGATAGAATGCCAGAAGATTTGCCAGATAGAATGCCAGAAGATATGCCAGAAGATATGCCAGAACATACAGAAGATATGCCAGATAGAATGCCAGAAGATATGTCAGATAGAATGCCAGAAGATATGCCAGAAGATATGCCAGAACATATGCCAGAAGATATGCCAGATAGAATGCCAGATAGAATGCCAGAACATATGCCAGAAGCTATGCCAGATAGAATGCCAGAAGATATGTCAGATAGAATGCCAGAAGATTTGCCAGTAAGAAAATGTATAAATGCCATGGTGGGGATCATTCGAAGTGAAGTATTTTTGTTTAAATAAATTGCCCATGAATCCGTTTGAAATCCCGAAAAAAAAAACATGTCAACTATAAGGGATTGCCTCAGCATCCCAAGATAGGATCATGACCTACTGAGGTTGGATCCTCATGATAAGTAACAAAAGCATTACATCATTTCATGGTTTACCACAATCAACCATTAATACTAATCATTATCATGTAAAAAAAAAACATGATTAGCCACATTTTCCAGAAAATTCAACAAATCGCATGAAATCAGTATTTTGATTGATCAAAATTCAATAGAAGGGCATGGTCATCCTCCATTGATGTATCATTTTCCTTTTTGAACGAGTTGCCCTTGGCTAGTTCGGGGATGTCCACGTGTTTGAATTACAATAATTCACTCCCCTATTAAATACAAGTGTTATCATTCAGTCAGTTAAGGGGATCCAACATATTTTACTAAGTTACCAACATTCAGGTGTCGCCCCTCCGCAAGAAAGCATGCATAACCTCAGCCAACAAGGGGACGATAGCTGGTTAGATGAAGGTGCCGGCTGTGCCCGCTGATGACAAAGCGCCGGATATTGCGGGGGGTCAGTTGCTGCTTAAATCCCCAAAAAAATCTGCTGTTTCTACAAACCCAAATACAAAAACTATACATCATCATGGCATGTTTTTATAATCCCCCGTTCATTGGAACACATGTAGTTAGCAATCCCCAAAAATATGCCGAAAAGTGATTTCTCAGTATAGTTAGTGGGCTTTTAGAACTCTTCTATATCTTTTTTGCGGGTGACCAAACATATCTATAAACCATGATAAACCCATATAAACCCACATAAACCCATATAAACCATGATAAACCCATATAAACCCATATAAACCCATATAAACCATGATAAACCCATATAAACCCATATAAACCATGATAAACCCATATAAACCCATATAAACCATGATAAACCCATATAAATTATATAAACCCATATAAACCATGATAAACCCATATAAACCCATATAAACCATGATAAACCCATATAAACCCATAAAAACCATGATAAACCCATATAAACCCATATAAACCATGATAAACCCATATAAACCCATATAAACCATGATAAACCCATATAAACCCATATAAACCATGATAAACCCATATAAACCATGAGACACCATGATAAACCCATATAAACCCATATAAACCATGATAAACCCATATAAACCATGATAAACCCATATAAACCCCCATGAAATGCGATAAACCCTGGAGATCTGTCACCACATAAACACCCGAGAAAAAATTTCGTCACCGCTCCATGAGGAAAAAGTCGAAGGTGATCTTCCGACAGAAGGACACCGACCTTTTTAGCTCCGCAGCCGAGGCGTAACAGCCATGGCCAGGGGGATGCTATGAGGAAAAGCCATAGGTATACTGGTCACTGGATTGGTTTTCACGGGAAAATCTTAACCGGAAACCATGGTTTTTACCATCAAATATAGGGCTTACTATCATACAATGTGAGGCCCGCAAGATATGTTTGTTGGTTTAGATTCGCCCCAGTAACTATAGTAGTTACTATAGTTATAAATACCATAAACCATAAGTTATTGGAGTTTTTTGAACCAACTTAGCTATCGAACGGGGGCCTCACATTGTAGGTATACTGGGAACCACACAGTTACCCTCCAGTAAACGTTTACATAGCTATGGAAAATGGACTATTCATAGATGATTTACCTATTAAAATGGTGATTTACCATGGCTATGTTAAATTACCAGAAGGTATATAGAATATGAACCAATACCAAATTACTAAGCAACAAAGTTATGGGATGGGGATACATAGTTTTTGGATATTATGGTATCATGGAACATGAACCACACACCTACAAATGATGGATGTGCTAATTAATGCTGATTTATATAATTGAATTAACCAGAATTAGTATAACAAATGGGGATATAGTTACTGATGATGAAGTAATGCGTGCATCTGTTGTATACAGTATACATGTTTACATCTCTTTAAATATAGGTACAAACTGTATCGAAATGTATGTGTTACATTTGGAATCCTGGGAAGTTCGTACAGAAACTTATATCTGGATCTGTCCCAAAATGGTGGTTGCAAGGGTGAAATAACCGAGAGTAATTGGAACCTAGCCTGTGCTACATAAATCTAAATCGTGTGATGTCAATCATAGGATACGTAACCAACCACTGTGGCCAAATCATCATAATCATCGAGTAGTTCTGGCCAATCAGAATAAAAATAAGAATGATAATTATAATAATAACAATAATATATATATATATATATAATATGGCAGTGTGTCAAAACCTTGTACCCCTGGTGAACATCAAAAATAGCTGGTAAATGGATGTTCATCCCACTAAAAATGGTATTAATAGGTATTGACCCATACCCATATAGTATTACAATGCTACCAACTTTGATGGAAATTCAACTATGAATGTAAATTGCTCCGATCAACTTCAATATGGGGACGCGACAAAGAAAATTGCACTGTCCACGGCCACACGGCCACTATCCAATTGGAGGGGGGAATCCCATCGATCAGATGTTCAAAAAGAAAACCATCCTGACCTCAAGCGATTAGAAGATCAAATATGATTTAAAAATTTCCCAATTTCATCCAAATTCCCCATCATATTCACCATCATTACTATGGGATAATCCGGGTGTGTCTTCATGGTAATTACATCCCCCAGCCGCGGCCATCGGTCATTTTCTGACCCAAAGCATAGACGCCACTTGAGTTCACTTGAGTTCAATCATCCAAGGCAGTTAAAACATATTAAAACCAGTTTTAAATTAATTCAGTCCGGACTGAAATTTTGAGGCTTCAAGCCAAAGTTCATCGAACATGTCAATGGATCATGATAATCCCCAACATCTTCGATAGTATAACCCTTGAACAAATCATCAATCACCAATTGATACACTTCCATATCTGTTGATGCTTTGTTGAATTACTCCCACTATTGATACTTACATGCGGTAATTCATCAAAAATTATCAATCACCTTCATGGTTGATGATTAAATTGATTATGAATGTTGATGAAATTGATAGCTGGTTGGTGGTTTCAACCCCTCTGAAAGATATGAAAGTCAGTTGGGATGATTATTCCCAATATATGGAAAAATAAATTCATGTTCCAAACCACCAACCAGATACACTTCCCCATCGGAGAAGCATCAAAATTTATCCATGTCATTCCCCATCATCACCATATGCCGAGCGGCTCCGTGCTGTTATCCTCGGTGTGAACAAGCGTTGGAATGGAACCCCAGCCGAGGATAGCACAGGATACTATAGAATAATAGTACTACAGTAACAATCAGTACTATAGAACTAATATCTATTATCTATGCAACTCCCAGCTATGGAATCTATGTACTTTTGAAATCATAGTACTACTTGGTACTACTTGGAGGCTTGATTTTATCAAGTTTTTTGTGTAACCCCGCCAAAAGATATATCAAACAGTTATGAATAGCACATGTTCTACTTGCAATAGGTATGTTCGTGGATGTCCCTCTAGTTGTTCCAAAAGTGGTATTATACATTATACCCCAACTTTAATAGGTTATAATAGGTTATTATCGTGTTTTTGAATTTCGGGGATTGCTATAAGTGGTTGGTAAATTCACAGTCGAAAAAACGCCATAGTGAAACCCCCAGGGAGATGATCGTGGATGATGATTTACCAAAACCAAGAATTCTCCAGTTTGCTCAACAAATTACCAGAGGCTAACTCATTATTAACATGATGATATAATATTATTATTAATATGATATAATGATATATATATACGATATAATGATATATAGTGATATAATAATATATAATGATATAAAATGATCTATAATGATACATAATGATATAACATATAATATGATATAATGATATATAGTGATATAATAATATAAAGGTGATATATAATGATGTATACTGATATATAATGATAAATAATTGTATATACTGAAATAGTATACAATTTATAATATATATACATAAAATATGATAAAATGATTTATAGTGATATACTGATATATAATGATAAATAATGATATATAATGACATATAATGATATATAATGATATATAATGATATAATGATATATCATGATATAATGATCTATGATGATAAAAAAAATATATAATATGATGAAATGATAGTGATATATATATATAATGATATATAATGATATAACATATAATATCAGATCATGATATATAGTGATATAATGATATATAATGATATATAGTGATATAATGATATTTATATATAATGATAAAACCTATAATATGATATAATGATATATAGTGATACAATAATATATAATGATATATAATGATATATAATGATATGTAATGATATAATGATATAATGATATATAATGATATATAATCATATATAATCATATATAATGATATATTATCATATATAATGATATGTAGTGATATTTAATGAAATAATATATTATATACAATATATAGTATGATAAAATGATATATAGTGATATAATGATATATAATGATATATATAATGATATATAATGATATAACATATAATATGATATATATAATGATATATTTATACATAATGATATACAATGATATATATTGATATAATGATATATAATGATGTATGATGATATATAATGATATATAGTGATTTCATGATATAATGATATATAATGATATAACATATAATATGATATAATGATATATAGTGATATAATGATATAGAATGATTTAGAATGATATAGAATGATATATAATGATATACAATGATATATAATGATATATAATGATATACAATGATATATAATGATATATAATGATATATAATGATATATATATAATGATATATAGTGATATAACATATAATATGATATAATGATCTGCTGTTTCAGCATCTCACTGGGGAGATTCTAAGCACTTGCTTCAAGGGATCATTCTCCCTATCCGCCTCAGGCGGCTTCCCCATCTGATTCTCCATGGCTCTTACAAGGTGGACCTCCCCCAGGAATCAACAAACAACAGATGCCATCATTTTTGAGGCTCCCATCATTTGGGCACCTTTCTTCTCATTGGTTTTTCGCTATGCCGCTATGCTTGCTGGCTAGAATCTGAAGATGATCACTGCTGTGCTTGAAATCCTCAATTTTGTCGCGATCCCTCTTAGTGGGTTGTAAAATTCCACAATCTTGCTACAAGTACCAAAAATGTGCAATCTTACATGGTTTTTACCAACCCGACACCCCAAACTCTACCAACCCAAGGGTCTAAGGGTACTTTCCATACGTTCAACATCTCCAGGTTTTTTTTCCCATGTTTCATTCTTAGCTCCAATTCCAAGGCTCCCAAAAGTCTAAGCCCGGCAGTTTCAACTGCAAACACTGCTGCAGGTGCAGCATAGGATGCAGCAGCACCGGATATCCTTAGATCACGCAGCTGGAGGCTGGAAATCCCAATTTTACATGGGAACGTATGGGAAAAAACTTGGGAAATATGGGAAAATATGGCTGCATCGCAATATGACTGGAGGTCTTAATGGTGAAAATCAACTATAAATCGAGGATTTTCCAGCAAGCCATGTTTAATTACCAGAGGGTATCTATGTTTCACAGCAATACCTTTTTTGTTGGGGTGCGGGACCCGGATCATTTTGAAACACCGGATAAGGATCATTTTGAAACACAGACGGATAAGGATCATTTCGAAACACAAACGCCCCGGATAAGGATCATTTTGAAACACATCCAAGATACTGCTGTTTAAGACATCTGGAAGGCATAGCATTTCTTTGTAACCACCATGGCGCTTGTAACAGCACAGCACATGGATGAAACCCTAGCTTATCAGCTCTTCAAACAAAAACAGTCAAAAAAACAAGTTAGCTCTCACAACGAGATTCATCCCTATCATAAATGCAATGTGACCTCAAAAGGCTTGAGTCTTTTCCCGTCAGCCATCTATTTGTGGCAGCTTTGTCCGGCAATTCATCTATGCACGCTTTTCCGCTTGCGTTCGGCTGCCTGCAAGGACACTTGATATCTTTAGGCGAGCAGCACAGCTTTATCATGCATACCCTCTACTTTTCCAAATGATGGTCGGCACGTTTCTGTTTAGCATGCGTTTCGCATTAATGTCAAGTCAATAAAGCGGCCGACAAACTCCATTCCCTTCTGGCCTTCTCTTCCCAAAACTTCCATTTGCGAATCTCGCGTTGCTGCTCTCTCTGCTCCGGAGTCAGAGCTGCCGATCAGATGGGGCTACCGAACCAGCTCCGCCTTTTTCCTGGTGACTGACAGAGTTAACCTACCACAGTCGATATAAGGTTTCCAACTGGGAATCTATTAAGTACCAATCGACTATCGAAGATATCGAAGGAAATTTGGAACTCTAGCTTCCGACATATCCAAAGTACAGCGCGCCAAACCACCATTTCAACCATCAGTCAATGAGAAGCCTGAACCAGCGAAAAATTTGAGCCAGCGAGAAGCCAGAGCCAGTGAATCAATGCGCCAGCGCGAAAAAAAAATATAGGACCGGATAACCCCACATGTTAAAACTTAGGTGGGTGAGTTTGTGCGCATGTGTGTGTGTGTGATGTGATGTTGTGTGTGCGAGTAATGTGATGATATGTGTGTGTGAGTAATGTGATGATATGCGTGTGTGAGTGATGTGATGTTGTGTTTGTTATTGTTGTTGTTCTTGCTGCTCATGGGAGATCATAGAAGACGTAACGAAGGTAGTTGGAAGACAATTCCAAGTTTCAGAGGGTGTATGCCATCCTAGATTCACAACCGCCAACCTGTCCTATAGGTTTCCTATTTTCGAAACTTCCGCCATCGCATTGTGCGGAACGACTGGTCAACTAGCATTCGTCAGGGTGGTTTGGTACTTCAATCCGCATGTCAATGCCAATGTGCAAGTGTGGAAAAGCATCATGGTCAATATGGTTGCTTCATCCAAATCAAACACATCGCAACTGCGATCCTTTTCTCCAATGGTTTCGGCACTCAGATTAGATGTATCTAATTTGATGTTGGACTCGGCTACAGTCTCCGCCCCTGACTGGATCTCCCCAGGTCACCAAAGTTCCGTTTTGCAAAATGGCCACAAATGCGCAGTGTGCCCCGAAAATCTGTCGAACGTTTTGAAGCTGAGATTGAACTATGGAGCTGTCACCACCTTGGCGTGGATGGCCCCACGTCACTACGCTACCATCTGCCTTCAAAGCAGCAAACGTTATCAAAGATGCATTGGCGCACAGGCGACACCCCGAAGAGTGGCACACTGACACCAAGGTATGAGGCCCTAGAGGCCTGTTCCTCTGTAACGTTGATCCAACACACGGGACCTCACAAGAGCCAAGTGGTCCAGCACGGATCTGTCAACTGCGGATTGACCAACAGGCCAACCTAGAATTTTCTGAAAAGCATTGTCAGGAGTCAGAGGTCGCCCCTGAGCAAAAGCTGGGCATTCCCAAGCATGGTGAACCCATCCAGGGATGGCATCAGGATCACGACACCACTGACAATGTGCAATTTCACGGCGCTTCATACGGTCGTATCTGGCATCTGATACAACAGCACCGACCATGACCGCACGACCGTGCGTGTCTGCCTCCTGAAACAATTTTCTGGCACGTGTAATCCAAGCTTCATCATAGGCAGGGTTGCCAACAGCTTGGGAATCTCGGCGGGAACTGGCAAGGAATTGATCGAACAAGAGCCGTCTCCAAGTTTCACGAATGTGATGTTTTTCTTTTTCTCCTTCCGCAGGACTGAGTGGATGCGACCATTGGATGTCGACCTGAATATCAGAATGTCTCCAATGAAAGGCTCCAACTTCATCCCAGCCAAGGGATTGCAGCCAGGAAGTGACTGTATGCAACCAAGTGCCTCTGATGGTTCTTTGTGGCCACGGACGAGCGCGGCGGCGAACTTCAGTGGCAAGGAATGAATACGCTTGCATTGCTGCGCAGAACTCAGGGTGGAGACCATGGCCAGCCAACAAATAAAAAAGGTCTTGTGAAGCTTGGTTGTGCCCAGTTCCAGCAAGCTTTTTGACGGTGCCATTAAGAGCACGGACAGGGACTAGGCTCGTCCATGCCCCCCATGCCGCCTTTGGGATCACAATCGAGACCGCATGTATGGCTTTCATGCGCATGTTTATGGGCATCATTGCAACGCGGTTGAGGCGTGCGAGGGCCCCTTTGATTCGCTCGGCTTGAGTGGCTCTGTTGCTGTCTCCAAGCCTAGCAGTAAAATCAATGCCCAGGACGCGAGCTGCCGTGGTCACGTGGCGGTCAGAAAACCCTTCGTTGATGAGCTGCTGTCGATAAACAGCTCGTCTGGGGACAACTTTGGTCTTGTTATCATTTTCCCAAAGACCCACCTGCTGAGACTTGGATTTCCAGATTTGCCAGAGATGGTATGCTTGCTTCGGATTGCTGGCAATCATGTTGCGATCATCCAAAAAGGTCACCAGAGTACAGGCAGTATTATCTTGGGCAAGGACTAGATTGGTAAGCCCGGTCATAAGCGCCAGCATGGTCAGCGGGCTGGTGGCGTCACCTTGCGGCAATGATGAGGTGACAGTGACCGGAGCTTGCAAATATTCACCATTGTATGTGAGCCAGCGTTCTTGCTGCCAAACTTCTTGAAGCATTCTGAGCATCTGCTGAGGGCATCCCAAATGCCTCAGGCATTGAAGCCCCAAGGCGGGATTGATGGTATCGAAGCATTTCTGAAAGTCCAGGCTGAGCAAGATACCCCCTTTTTCGAATTTTTGGAAAAGGAGATCGACTGCCTTGGCGACACCGCTACCTTGCACGCCTCCACAAGCTGTAGGATGCACCCAAGAGCTGATCCAATTTCGAGTAGATCTACGTCTTGTCCAGGTGGACGCAATGATCCGCCAAATTGTGCATTGTATGCTAATTGGACGAAGGTCCTTGGCATGGATGGCCCCGTCGGCGGGCCTCAATTTTGCGTCCGGTTTTTGCAAATGCACTTGTCTGGTGGATTGCCAAACTGAAGGGACCTCTTGACGGTCCGTCCAGCGAGCTAAGAGAATAGCGAGATGTTCCCAAGCTTTCAATGGAAGCTGACTAGTTTCACTGCCACTGAGGCCGTCAGGACCTGCAGCTGAACCCCGCTGCCGCAATGCATTAGCGTGAAGTTCTTTGCCCGACAGAGGTGTCCAAGGAAACTCAGGCCTAGAGGGGGTATGTTGCTGCCAGGCTTCAAAAGCTTCGGAAACAGGTGGCATTTGGCGATTCCAAATGGTATTCCAAAAACTGTGGATGGCCTCCAAGGATTCATGGTTGGAGGCAGTGGCAGTATTGTCCTTATGGTTTGGGTCGTGCACTGAAGTGACAGGCAGATTGTTTTGTTTGCTGATCCATCGGCGCGCTTTGGCCATGTCCGTGCGCATGTTCTGTCGCCAGGTTTGGATTTTTGTCAAGCGATCCTGGCGCACGACTTCCTGCACTTCATGTTCTGCCCATTGTTCAATTTCATGGAGGGATTGGAAATCTTGATTACGCACCAAGGGGTGGTTCCAAATCCGATGCAACAAGACTGCAGGGATAGTGCCGTGGTGGGCCAATCGCAAGTTGGCTTCACGTACACGGCCCCAAAGTTTACGGGCTTTGAGCTCCCTGCATGAGGCATGCTGTTTGAGTCTGAATGTGGTAGCCTCAACGGGTCTGACTTGCAATGCACTTCCCTTAGGACGACCCGCTTTGCTGTGGGTCTTGGCAGAAGTAAGCTCACATTTCTGCACGGCTTCATTGAAAGTCTCTTCAATATTGCCGCAAAATTCAATCCATTCCTGTTGTGTGGATGATTCTGCTGGGCATTCTGCATTTTGCCAAGCGGCTTCGAGGGCAGCCGCCCATTTGTCCGGTGGGACAGTTTCTGGCTTTGTCAAGTTGCGAGTAGGGACATGCTTGAAACATTGAACTTTGGCTTGACAATAGTTCAAAGCAGCAAACGCAGCACCTGTGCCGCGAATCTGCTGCACATCCTCGAGATGATCTTGGACTCTAGAACTGTCACCACCACACTTCGGGGAGCCCCAGGTCACCACTTTGCCATTAGCCAAAATGGCAGCAAAAGCATCGCGTGTGCTAGCAATCTGCTCAACATTCCGGAGCTGTGCTTGGACTGCCGTGCTGTCACCGCCTGAATCTGGGAGGCCCCATGACACCACCGTGTGGTCGACCAAAGTTGCAGCAAAAGCACCAGCCGTGCTGGAAATGTGCCGCACATTTCTGAGCTGGTGTCTAACGCTGGAGCTGTTACCACCGAAGCTGCTTGCGCCCCACGTCACGACAGATCCGTCTGCCAGAATTGCTGCAAATGCGCCATCGGTGCCACAAATCTGCTCAACACTCTGCAGCTGCCGTTGGGCTTCAGAGCTGTTGCCTCGATCCATATGCTGGACTGCCCCACGACACCACGGAACCATCGGCTAGAGTGGCTGCAAAGGCATGCCCTGCCCCACATATATTCTTAACATTCTTGAGCTGACTTTGAACTCCGGAGCTGTCGCCGCCATCTGTTGGACTGCCACACGTCACCACATATCCATCGTTCAAAAGGGCAGCAAAGGCATCTTGCGAAGCAAATAAGCTGTTTACGTTTTGGACCTCGTCTGGGACTTCGCACGGGCGACCCCCGTACAGCAGCATGTGGTTGCCCCACGTCACGACAGAAGCATCCTCTAAAAGGGCAGCAAAGGCATGGGCTATGCCGCATATCTGTCGGACATTTCTGAGCTCATCTTGGAATTCGGAGCTGCCGGCACCTGACTGCTTCTCGCCCCATGTAACAACACATTCACCTCCAACACACCACAGCGCTACAGCTGAGCTCGTTGAGGTGATTCTCGGCTGCAGAACCAAAGCACTAAGACACTGCTCATTTTGGAGCCCACAAGTTTGCAGAGAATCTTTTTGAACCAGAAGATCTCCGTTAGCGGCAGCCAACCTGAGAAAACACTGTCCAAATGATTCCTGAGCAGCTCTTTTCAGGTCCAACACGGTCGCTGACAGGCCCACTGCAACAACTTCCGACCGACCACTCGGCAACGAGACATGGAGTTTAATCGTCGCTTCCATTTTGAAAACAAGCGTGGCCTTGCAATGTTTTGCTTGCATTGATGGATATTGACTTGCTGATAACATTTTTCAACGCGGAGACACTGGCATAACTATGGTCTTCCTGATTCAAACATATAGTTTCTTTCTTATCAGTTGTATACCTGACAATGCGGTTCGTATTTCTTTGTTGCATCTCAAGAATTTGCTGCATTTGAGCACTTGAGCCGCCGGTGGCATGATGCCACACACTCAACAGCACCGTCTCAAGATTGAAGCTGACAATTCAATTCCATTTGCTGGAAACAAAAAGAGTTTTCAAAGGAACTAAAGCCCTCATGCGGTAATTAGTTGTCTCGCACCTAGCGCTATGCATCCTCACATCATTGAAAAAAGTATCTCAAATTGCCGTGTAAGTGATCTAGAAATGGCCGGAGAGAGTGAGAACAATGATCGGCAGCTGATCAGGACAATGGTCGGGAGATGAGCTGAAAAATAACATTGAATACGGGATAATACACTCTGAAAAACAGAAACACCACAAAGTGCCACCTCTTTCTCTACCTGAAATGCAACCGCTAAGCCAAGGTGGCCCCCCAATTCAAAGTTATGTCTACAAAAACAATAAACTATATCCCGAGAATATATATATATATATATATATATGTATATACATATGCATTTCTTAGTTATATGTATGTAGATTTAAATAAATAAATATATATATATTAAAAAAAATGATATATATATATATAATTGTATATAAATAAACATCTATATATATATACTAAGGTCATTGGTCTGGTACATGGTTGTATTAAGTAGTAAGTAGTAAGTAGTAGAAGTAGAAGTAGAAGTAGTAGAAGTAGTAGTAGTAGTAAAAGTAGAAGTAGAAGTAGTAGTAGTAGAAGTAGTAGTAGAAGTAGTAGTAGTAGTAGAAGTAGAAGTAGAAGTAGTAGTAGTAGTAGTCGTCGTCGTCCTCGTCCTCGTCCTCGTCCTCGTCCTCGTCCTCGTCCTCGTCCTCGTCCTCGTCCTCGTCCTCGTCCTCGTCGTCGTCGTCGTCGTCGTCGTCGTCGTAGTCGTCGTCGTAGTAGTAGTAGTAGTACTAGTAGTGGTAGTAGTGGTAGTAGTGGTAGTAGTAGGAGGATTTGTTGTTGTTGTTGTTGTTGTTGTTGTGGTTGTTGTTGTTGTTGTTGTTGTGGTTGTGGTTGTGGTTGTGGTTGTTGCTGTTGTTGTTGTTGATGATGTTGATGTTCCTGTTGGCGTTGATGTTGATGTGAATGTTGATGATGTTGTTGTGGTTGTTAATGTTTTTGTGTTGTCGGTTTAGAGACTGCTGTTGATTTTCTTGTTGTTGTAGATGTTATCATGTTGTCGATGTCAGTAAAGAGGCGTCGAGAGCGAGTCGATTTTCGGCGCTGAAAGCGAGTTGATTTTCGGCGTCGGGAGCGAGGTGCCGACCATGCGTGTTGTCTGTGAGTGGGTGTGAGTGATGTGTATGTGAGTTGGTTGTTGGTGTGTTTCTTTCTGTGTGAGTGATATGTTTGTGTGTGTGAGTGGGAGATAAGTGTGTGAGTGTGTGTGAGTGTGTGTGTGTGTGTGTGACGGGAGTGGACGGGAGGAGGCGGAAGAAGAAGAGGAAGCGGATACAGCGCTAAACGCAAAAACCCCATACAACAATGCGGGGAAAAAGAGCCTGCGAAGGATAGGACTTGCGCGAAAAGCTCTGTTTTTCTGTAGTTACGTGGCCAAGGATAGTCACGATGTGGGGTTGGTAAAGCGGCGGGCGCGAAGAACGGTGGTGGAAACAACGAGTCCAAAAAGTGTACCCGGTTGCGGCGAGAAGCTCATCCGGAAACCGAAAGTGTGAAAATATTGCACCAGCGTTTTTTTTTGAAGATCAGCTGTTCAAAAATGCCCCCCGATTGCGACGAGAAGCTCGCTTGGAAGATCGAATGTTCATAAATTGCACCCGGCTTACTACATACTTTAAAGGCTGACTGTCAGGTGGCATATGTGACCAGATTCTTGATTATGCTGTCAGGTGTCACCAAACCATTATGTTCTTTTCTTAAGGTGGGAAATATCTCAACGTAGTACATGTCTCGCAGAACCAAACACAGAACGATGTCCTCTTCCACCGGAATCAAGGTCTCGGATTTCATTTTCCGCAGGTCCTCCAACGGCACAATGGCAACAACAATTACTTCTTATCCCAACAAATCCACTTCTTTCCTGTCGGACTTACCTTTTAGTGTGACCTGGTCATCTTTACTTGTAATAAGTAAGCCCACGGGCCAGCCCGCAAAAGGCGAGGGGTGCGCGTCCTCATTTGCAATCTCTGCTGACGCTCCATGCATGGTCTCTGAATCCGCCTCCGTGTCCTACAGTGAATCAAAAACGGGTTGCTTTCGAACCGCGTCTCATGCATGATACAATCTCATCTAACATATCCTTGTCCACTTACCTGATGATGTGTCTTCTCTGACGACTGCATCAATAAAAATGCGTTCCTGTTGCTAGATAACTAATACATTTCCCTTGTGCCTACTGTCGCAGCTGTTGCTAGATAACTAATACATTTCCTTATGCCTACTGTCGCAGGCCTGCCGGTGTCGAGCGTCCTCATTTGCAATCTCTGCTGACGCTCCATGCATGGTCTCTGAATCCGCCTCCGTGTCCCACAGTGAATCAATAACGGGTTGCTTTCGAACCGCGTCTCATGCATGATACAATCATCTAACATATCCTTGTCCACTTACCTGATGATGTGTCTTCTCTGACGACTGCATCAATAAAAATGCGTTGCTGTTGCTAGATAACTAATACATTTCCTTGTGCCTACTGTCGCAGGCCTGCCGGTGTAGATCTTCCAAAAAAAGTCTCGTTGCTGCAGCCGGCGACCGCAGAAGCATCATCAAAGACGGTAGGTCCCACTTTTGTAGTTCATCTTCAGTCAGAGCATATTGGACCATCATCTTCTCGTACACGGCCATGTTGTGCTTGCGCAACAACTGCTTCAGACGCAAAGACAGTTCCGTGGTTGCGCTTTGGCTGCGACATGACGGTGTTGGTGGAGCACTTTCTGATCGCGGTTTGGTTGGTGTCAAGATAACACCATCTCTTTTGCGTTTTGGACGCCTCTTCGGGTCTGGCCAAGGCTGCTCCTCCTGCAATGAACATGAGAACGCCGTTGTGTGAAGAATTTCTAGGATCATTCGGACGAGTGGGGCCCACAGGGACACATATGCCATTATGCAATTAGAAAGTCTTAGGAGGGAAGTGATGTAAGTTTCAGCCAGCAGGTCCTGTAGCACACCTTTGATGCGAAATCCCACATACACATGCGAGCAGCCTCCGTATGTGGCATGTTCCAAGCATAAATAGCAACGGCCACATGTATGATCCGCAACATCGGGCGCCGCGCCCTCTGCTGGTTGCTGTTGCCAATGCTTCTGTGCCCCTGGTCCAATGATGCATATACACCATCTGCGGAGCGTTGCGACATTACTCTCCAAGGCTTCAACACTTCGCTCCAATCGACATCCCAAAGCACGCAGAACTTCTTCTGGAAGCTCCTCCGTATCTCTCAAAGCAATTATCCGCTTCAACTGCTTCAGAACAGTTGCAGTGAGAGGGGTCCTGCATCGTGACATAATGGCTTCTGGATTTTTTCCTCTGTTGATGTAATGACTTAGCCCCAAACAAGAAAATGTATTGCAACTAAAGAAATACAAACATTGACACATGCATCCCAGTTGCTTGGTCAGCCCCAAGCTCTGCGGATCCTCTCGCATAGCCAGGTACAAGTTGCCATCGGAATCTGGGTCGCTCACAAAGTGCCCTCCCTGCATGTACTTCTCTGCATCGGCTCTATATGTGCTACTCCACGTTCCCATCGGGGCGTCGACATAGTCACCATCGTGATTGGCAGTTTCTATTGCACGACTCTTGGAGAAGTCATTCAGCTCATCCAATAGCTGCGCAACAGGTACTTTCAAGTTCAACGCAGGTCTAAGACGATGCCTGTGGAAACTTTCCTGCGCTGTGGCTGTTTCAAGCAAAAAAAGCAAAGACTCCATCAGCACAGCCCTTAAAATTCGCTTGAATTCACAAAGAGAAAGCCTCACGACATGTATACAAAGACTCGTCAGAAATCAATATAGTATCCTCTACAAAAACCATGAATCAAACACATATCCTCTTTAGTCTTTGGCCTGCGGTTGCGACCCGACATAACTCCCTGGTTGGAGTGACGCACAGCACCAGTGTGCTCTCCAGTGGCCCGACGCATCGTCTTTGTGCAAATAATGCTGGGTGAGTTTCCGAACAGCCAGGGTCTCTCCGCAATCGGTGAGCACTCCCAAGCATTGTTCCCACACAAAATTGAACAGAGGCCACGTGAGATAGCGTGTGCCATAGATGACGCTCTCCAAGCGATCTAACCAACTGGGATCCTGCAAAGCCTGCCGGAGAACAGTGATCATTCCTTTCCTCCATGGTCTCTGCTCATCGTCACTTCTCAACCCCTTGGGTGGTCGAACGTTGCCCATGGCGTGTGAAAAATCGCCGCCATAGACAGCACACCTGTCAGGAGACAGAGCCGTCAAATGAGAAAACTGAACATATAGACCAAGGCAAGAGAAGACGAGTCATGACAATGTCACACAATGATTTTGAAAAGCAACGATCGTAGATGTCTGTCATGCCTCTACTGCCTCTACTTCCGACTTTACCCAAGGAATAGTCTAGATCGATACTAAAGCCTGTCTGTCAGTACCATGATAAACATCGCCTCATAGCTTACAAGCCCGGCCAGCCTGTAGTGATTCTGGGCAGCAATCATCAAGCCACCATGGAAATCTGCGTGAAATTGGCCAACAGTGGCGCAAAAGTTCGGAACATTCAGAACTGCTTCCATCACCAAGTCAAAGTCGGAAAATAGACGGCCATATGTGATTTGATGCTCGCTTTTCATGATGGCATAGAAGGCTTCCCGGTAGGTGGTTGGAAACACATGCTTAGACTTTCCAGAATGGTGATAATCACTCCCACCGCCTGCTGATTTCAGAAGAAATCCGAAAGTTGCAAAGGTGAATGACTGATTGGTAAGCCGGTAGACTCCATCAGACCCAGCTTTCACAAACGATTTGTTGCGCATTTTCTGCCAGAGTGCCTTGAGTAACACTGGGTTTACCAAGGTCACGCATAGAAACTCATCCTTCAGGTGCGCATTGGCTAGAAGCAATCCATTTTGATTGTGCAAGTTCTTGTCTTTCACTGACTTCATGGTCTGCGCCAAAAGTTGAAAATCTGCCAGATTCCACGTTGTCTGGCTGTGCTTCCCCTTGCCTTTCAACTTCTTCTCACGCACACGACAATTCTTCAAGAAGACCGCGACATGTTTCTCTTTAGGCTGCAGTCCAGCGCCGTGAAGAGCCTGGCATTGCAGAATGGAAACTCACATTATATGTAGGTTACAGCCCATACTATCGGATTATTTTTTCTATCACACCATACAACAGACAACAGTTGGCCCGAAAGCGTTTGGACAAAGACCCAGTAACATATAATCAAGTATTTAAACTATATTTGTATGTCATGAAGGGGTAAAGATCTTCAGATGTGAGGAGATGGAAGAGAAAGGTTTAAATATGGAGATCTGAAAGTGAAGAGCTGAGGATGTGAAGATGAAGAGACTATAGTTAATAGAGGTTTGAATGGCAGGAGCTGACGTGTCCGACCTGCATCACTTGCTGTAATCTCACCTCCTTGCAGTCATGGACCACTTGTCGAACAACATCTTTGCAAACTTGCGTCAAGCCTTTGGTGCCCCACTTCTTGTCTTTGCCAGAATGCTTTTCCAAAGAGTTCGCAACGAAGACGCTCTGTTTTGTAGTCCGATCATACGTTGCATAGCCACGCCACTTGCAAGAGGCACACGACTTGCACTGGAACTTGTAGTAATAGCCAGGCCTCTTCCTTGTGCGGTACTCCTGGTATATGAATCTTCACCTACGTTAGCGCGCCATCAATCCGACAAAGAGCGCCACTGCGCGTGGAGTTAAACAGTCATGTACCATGAAAAACTGCACAGAAATCATGGAAAACGCATAGAAATCATGGAAACCGTGCAAACTATGAAAACCGTACAGAAATCTTGGACAACAGGGAAACCATGGAAACCGCAGACAAATCATGGAAACCATGGAAACCATGGAAACCGCAAAGAAATCATGGAAACCGTGGAAACCATGGAAACCGCAAAGACATCATGAAAACCATGGAATCCGCAGACAAATCATGGAAACCATGGAAACCATGGAAACCGCAAAGAAATCATGGAAACCATGGAAACCGCAAAGAGATCATGGAAACCATGGAAACCGCAGAAAAACATAGAAACCACAAAAACCATGGAAACCGCAAAGAAAGTATGGAAACCATGGAAACCATGGAAACCGCACAGACATCATGGAAACCATGGAAACCATGGAAAACCGCAGAGAAAAATAGAAACCATGGAAACCATGGCACAGAGTGAGTCGCGTTTCAAAATGAGTAATAAAGTCGCTTTTCAAATTGAGTATTACCCCGCGTTCTAAAACGAAACCTTCCCAACATGGGGTGCTCCTAACACCCGAGCTACCAGGGTGTGTTGAATTGGTAGATAAAGAATGATAAAGGTATATAAATTGACCAATCTGCAAAAAAATATTCTTTTGAGGTGCTTAACAAATATTCCCACCAAAAATGGTGGGCGTGATGTGGTTTATGAAACTACCCATCACCAAGCTATCTTTGATAGTTGAGTCACTTAAGTCCCCTGCTGCTTTCATCTAGTTTAGTCAGTTGAACCCCCAATTTTCGCTGGTCAAAACCTGTCCAACCCACCTCCCCTCCCTGCGAAATCTCACCCGAGATGCTCATGAGAAGTTCCGCGAAGTCGGAGGCATAGTACCTGCCAAGTCGGTTTTCATGGGGGGTTTTCCTGAAATGGAGGTACCTCAAAATGGATGGGAAACGGATGATTTATAGGGGAAAATCCATGGAAATCCTACGAAAATTTGGATGATTTGGAAGTACCCCCATTTCAGGAAACCCTGAGGCCATCAACCCCGGACTTCAGAAGGGAATGGATGTCCGAGACCATAAAGGGGTAGTTCCTACACCCCAATATGTTGATGATTTGATGGATGATCCATTTTTCCCCCAAAAAAATATGGCAAGGTGGAAAGATTTCACTCCCAACTGTTGAACCCGAATGGTTTAACATGGTTTAACCAACAAAACCAAAGCTTGTCCAAACGAGAGATGACAATTTAATCAGCCAAAACAACAATCAGGCCCATATATTTGCATGATAATGACATCAAAAACAAGGGGGGGCCTGAGAACCCAAAAGCAAAACGACAGCAAACAAATTTGAGTAATACTGATAATTGGTTTATTTCTTTTTCGCCTCTTGCCAGCTTCTTTTTAGAAGATGAACATTATGGACGCATGCACTGCAAATTTCATTTTTCCCCACCTGCCAGGTGAGGGTTGTTTGATTTTATCAGAGTTGTTCTCCTCGGCTAGCTGTCCTCCTCGTCCTCGTCCTCCTCCTCCTCGTCCTCCGCCTTCTCCTCCTCCTCTGCCTCCTCCTCCAGTTTCTCCTCGATCATGTCTGCATCAACTTCCACCTCAACTTCCGCCTTGCCAACTCTTCGCCAAGCTCTTTGCCAACTTCCCAGCTCAGTGCACCGGTGGACCTCAACCTGAGACCAAACCAGCTCAGTGTGCACCGCTGGACCTCAACCTGGGGATCTGCCCAGCTCAGTGTGCACCGCTGGACCTCAACCTGGGACCTTCCCAGCTCAGTGTGCACCGCTGGACCTCAACCTGGGACCTTCCCAGCTCAGTGTGCACTGCTGGACCTCAATGGCCAGATAGAATACCAGAAGATATGCCAGATAGAGTGTTAGAAGATATGTCAGATAGAATGCCATAAGATATGCCAGAACATATTGCAGAAGATATGCCAGGTAGAATGCCAGAAGATATGCCAGATAGAATGCCAGAAGATATGCTAGATAAAATGCCAGAAGATATGTCAGATAGAATGCCAGAAGATTTGCCAGTAACAAAACGTATAAATATCATGGTGGAGTGGGGATAACTCGAAGTAAAGTAATTTCAGCACTGCGCGGAAACATTGAGTGACAGTGTGCAATAGCCAAGCAAGCTCATTTGAGCACGGTCATGCGACGGCGGCTGATTTCCAAATCAACCTCTCACCTCTCCTTTCCTTTCCCTTCCTTCCCTTCCTTTTCCGTCCTTTCCCTTCCTTTCCCTTAAGCCTTTTCCGTCCTTTCCCTTCCTTTCCCTTTCTTTCCCTTTCTTTCCCTTCCTTTCCCTTTCTTTCCGTTCCTTTCCCGTCCTTTCCATTCCTTTCCCTTCCTGTCCCTTCCGTTCCCTTCCTTTCCCTTTCTTTCCCGAATGCGTAGCAAGGGTTCCCGTTGCCCAACCGTCCGCAACCACTCGCAACCGTCCGCGCGATTGCTAAATGGCCGTGCCTCTGGTAAGTTCTCCAAAAGGGGTAATTTTTGCGTTTCGCGTGGCAGGCGTGGCACTTCGTGACATTCAGACGTGTTTTGTAACGTGTCGAAAGTCATTGTGTGTGGCAGGCGCAATACTTTTGCGACGTTTTCAGAAGATGCGTTGCAGTTCTCGTGGCAGGCGCAGCACTTTGGACGTGTCCATCGTCATTTTGCGTGGCAGGCGCAGCACTTTAGACGTGTAGTGTTGCGTGTTTTTTACGAGGCGCATTGGCAGGGCTGCGTCAAGTGGCGACAAGGTGCAGATTCCGTGGCAGACGTGGCATTTTGTGAGATGTGCTGAAAATTGACGGAAGCCTCCCACGAAACATCGATTTTGAGGTAGCAAATTTAAAGGCTCGTACGAAAACTCGTGGGAAAATTTTGAAGCTACAAAGTGTGAAAATTGGAGGAAGTCTCGCACGAAAGGCTCGTTTTGATGCTCCCACATCTCTCGTCTCAAGTCTCTGGTTTTCCTGTGGCGTCGCCGTGTCTATGGGGGAAGCTGCAAAATCTCTCCTTTTCGAAGGTTTCCAAGCAGGTTGTCATGTCGTTTTGCGTGGCAGGGGTGGCACTTTGCACTCTACACTCCCCACTCTACACTCCACACTGCACACTCTACACTCCACCGCACCCTACACTTTGCACACTCCTCACTCCACACTTTACACTTTACACTCTACACGCCACGCTCCACACTCGACACTTTCCACTCCACACTCTACACTCCACACTTTACACTCCACACGCCTCACTCCACAATTTACACTTTACACTCCTCACACCACACTCTACAATTTACACTTTGCACTTTCCACTCCCCCTTCACACTCTACACTTTACACTCTACACTCCACAGTTTACACTTTGGACTCCACACTTTAAACTTTGCACTCCTACACACTCCTACACACTCCACACTCTACACCCCACGCTCCACCACACTCCACACTCTACACCCCACACTCCACCACACTCCACACTCTACACCCCACACTCCACCACACTCCACACTTTACACTCCACACTTTACACTCCACACTCCACAAACTACACTTTCCACTCCACACTCCACACTCCACACTTTACACTCCACACTCCTCACTCCACACTTTACACTTTGCACTTTGCACTCCTCACTCCACACTTTACACTCCACACTTTACTCTCCACACTCCGCACTCTACACTTTACGCTGTACACTTTACACTCTACACTCCACACTTTACATTTTCGACTCCTCACTCCACTCCAAACTTTACATTTTACACTCCTCACTCCACTCCACACTCCGCACTCTACACTTTCCACTCCACACTTCACACTCTGCACTTTCCACTCCACACTCTACACTTTACACTCCATACTCTTCACTTTACATTTTTCACTCCACACTTTACATTTTACACTCCTCACTCCACGCTTTACACCCCACACTCCACACTTCCCACTTTACACTCCACTCTCTACACTTTACACTCCACACTTTACACTCCACACTCCTCACTTTATACTCCACACTCCACACTCTACAGTTTCCACTCCACACTCTACACTTTACACTCCTCACTCCTCACTCCACACTTTATACTTTACACGCCACACTTTACAGTTTGCACTTTACACTCCTCACTCAACACTTTACACTCCACACTTTACACTCCACACTCCACACTCTACACTTTACACTCTACACTTTACACTCTACACTCCACACTCCACACTTTACACTCCACGCTTTCGTCTCCACGCTTTGGACTCCACACTTTACACTCCACACTTTACACTCCACACTTTTACGCTCCACACTCCACAGTCTACACTTTACACTCCACACTCTACACTCCACACTCCACACTTTACCCACTGCACACTCCACACTTTACACTCCACACTCCTCACTCCACACTTTACGCTCCACACTTCCCACTTTACACTCCACACACTACACTTTACACTCCACACTCCACACTTTACACTCCACACGCCGCACTCTACACTTTACACTCTACACTCCACACTCTACACTGTCCACTCCACACTGCAGACTGGTAACGGGGGCAGTATGTATATACGAGACTGTTCAAATAAACTATTGCAGAAAATTGTTCTGAGTGACTGCATATCCATTTCGGGTTCGTGGGCTGCATCTTGTTCTTCTCCCCGCCTATTTCCAGCCACTCCGTTGCACCCACGCCGTCCGCAACCGTCCGCGCACTTCTCCGCACCCATTTCCCGTCCACAGCCGTCCGCGCAGCCAAGCTCGCTCATCTCCAGCGGCTTCTTCTCCCCATCCATTTCCAACCACTCCCTTGCACCCACGCCGTCCGCAGCCGTCCGCGCAATTCTCCCCACCCATTTGCCGTCCGCAGCCGTCCGCGCAGCCAAGCTCGCTCATCACCAGCGGCTTCTTCTCCCGAACCATTTCCAGCCACTCCCTTGCACCCACGCCGTCCGCAGCCGTCCGCGCAATTCTCCGCACACATTTGCCGTCCGCAGCCGTCCACGCAGCCACGCTCGCTCATCCCCAGCCGCTTCTTCTCCCCACCCAACCCATTTCCAGCCACTCCCTGGCACCCACGCCGTCCGCAGCCGTCCGCGCAATTCTCCCCACCCATCCATTTGCCGTCCGCAGCCGTCCGCGCAGCCAAGCTCGCCCATCCCCAGCGGCTTCTTCTCCCGACCCTCCCTGCACCCACGCCGTCCGCAGCCGTCCGCGCAATTCTTCCCATCCATTTGCCGTCCGCAGCTGTCCGCGCAGCCAAGCTCGCTCATCACCAGCGGCTTCTTCTCCACCCATTTCCAGCCACTCCCTCGCACCCACGCCGTCCGCAGCCATCCGCGCAGCCAAGCTCGCTGATCTCCAGCGGCTTCTTCTCCCCACCCATTTCCAGCCACTCCGTTGCACCCACGCCGTCCGCAACCGTCCGCGCACTTCTCCGCACCCATTCCCCGTCCGCAGCCGTCCGCGCAGCCAAGCTCGCTCATCACCAGCGGCTTCTTCTCCCCACCCATTTCCAGCCACTCCCTTGCACCCACGCCGTCCGCAGCCGTCCGCTCCATTCCTTTCCCTTCCTTTCCCATCCTTTTCCGTTCTTTCCCATTCTTTCCCTTCCTTTCCGTTCCTTTCCCATCCTTTCCCTTCCTTTCCCTTCCTTGCCCTTTCTTTCCCTTCCTTTCCCTTCCTTTCCCTTCCCTTTTCCTTCCTTTCCCATCCTTTCCCTTCCTTTCCCTTCCTGTCCCTTCCTTTCCCTTCCTGTCCCTTCCTTTCCCATCCTTTCCCTTCCTTTCCTTTCTCCCCACCCATTTCCAGCCACTCCGTTGCACCCACGCCGTCCGCAGCCATCCGCGCAGTTCCCCGCACCCATTTGCCGTCCGCAGCCGTCCGCGCAGCCAAGGTCGCTCATTATCAGCGGCTTCTTCTCCTCACCCATTTCCAGCCACCCCCTTGCACCCACGCCGTCCGCAGCCGTCCGCGCAGTTCTCCGCACCCATTTGCCGTGCGCAGCCGTCCGCGCAGCCAAGGTCGCTCATCACCAGCGGCTTCTTCTCCCCACCCATTTCCAGCCACTCCGTTGCACCCACGCCGTCCGCAGCCGTCCACGCAGTTCCCCGCACCCATTTGCCGTCCGCAGCCGTCCGCGCAGCCAAGGTCGCTCATCACAGCGGCTTCTTCTCCCCACCCATTTCCAGCCACCCCCTTGCACCCACGCCGTCCGCAGCCGTCCGCGCAGTTCTCCGCACCCATTTGCCGTCCGCAGCCGTCCGCGCAGCCAAGCTCCCTCATCACCAGCGGCTTCTTCTCCCCACCCATTTCCAGCCACTCCCTTGCACCCAGGCCGTCCGCAGCCGTCCC